ATTTTTAAGCCATATATTTCCTTGCATTGCTGCACTGGCTTGAACTTACTCGTTAAATAAAGGAGAAAGAATGGGGACTTTATCCTCCTTCCTGAACTCAGGAAAGACGTTGTCTGGAAACAGCTCTTTATTAAGTAGTATGTTTATTCTTTGACAGTGAGTCAGAAAGTTTTGTGAAAAAAATCATAGAAACGTATATTAAACAAAAACACCGAAAGTGGAGCTATTGTTACGGCCTTCATGTAGGTCTGTGCAGTTCTGAAAGCAGGGTTTCCACATCTGTAACTTTCCCATCAAACAGCAGTTTGGGCATCCCGGAGGGACCCATGTGGTGCTCCCTTTTTTTTTCCTTCGAGTCTTGGGGGTAAATGAAGTATCAAGGGGCAAGATCAAGGCTATAGGATGAGTAGGGTAAGGTTTCCCAAAAAATTCTCATAGGGCCACCCTTGCTACCCCTCAGCGAATGAGCAGACACAGTGTAACAATAGGGGTGGGGGGATGTCTTGGGACAACTTTGCTAGACTTCTCACCATCATTTTAGTTTCTCAAAACCTTTCATAATACATCCTCATAATTGTGGTGTGTCCTTCACGAAAATCTATCAAGATTACACATTGAAATCACAAAAAGCAATCACAGTAACCTGAGCTGACCTCTCTGCCTTGAATCGAGCTGGTCCATCAGACCCTACTGTTTTGATTGAACCATTTTTGTTCTTGTTGTTTAATGTTCCTTAACAAGACCAAGACAAGTGCATTACTGAGAGAACTTTTCTACAGCCGCGCACTGAGCAGAGACATAGTTGAATATGGTTTTTAAGAAACGGGTGCATGTTTAAAGTGGAAGCCTAGCAGCAATACTGTCTGAATTACCCCCAAAACGTGTTTGTAGATCGTTATGAGGCAAGGAAGATCTATTGTGTTCTCAAATTTCAAACTTTCATCATAAGGCATGCTGCTAAAGTGATCAAATGTTTGGTTTGTTGTTCACAATTGAGATAAAAATTTTATTAATCTACTGAAGTGCCAAAATATACTGATGAATTTTCTACAATTGAACTAACCTTGAATTCCTAGAATAAAATCATCTTGGTTGTGGTACTTTATATTTTTTATGTATTATTAGATTTGGTTTGCTAACATTTTATTTTTTAAATGAACACACATTTTTCCGAATAAGATCAGCTTCCCTTAGGATGTCCAAAGTAATACAGGATTCATAAAATAAGTTATAAAATGTTCCCTTTCTCTATTCTCTAAAATTTTGTCTAAGATTAGAGTTTATTTTTCATTAAATATTAGAATTCACTGGTGAAGCTGCATGAGCCTAGGGATTTGTTTCTAAGAAGACTTTTAATTATGGATTCCATTTCTTTAATGTTTATAAACCAAAAATTGACTAAAAACTGAATTCACTGCCATCAAGTCGATGCCAACTGATAGCTACCCTATCAGACAATAGCACTGTAACTCTACGGGAGAAGAACGCCCTGTGTCTCTCCCACCAAGCAAGTGGCTGGTTGGTGCTTTCAAACTGCTGACCTTGAAGTTAGCAGCCCAACATGTAACCACTATGCCACCAGGGCTCCAGTTTAATTTTTATAGGAGCCCATAATTTCTGTATTTTTTTCTATATCATTATTAAAAGTTATAATATTAATTAGTTGCCAGTATTGATTGTTGTAGAAATATGTCTAGAAATTTTTGGAGTAATTTGAGATGTGTGTTTGCTGTTACCTAGCAGGTAACTTCCTTACCTACCTGTCTAACTGTGCTGCCTTCCACAATGTATTAGTCCGGGTAGACTAGAGAAACAAATTCATAGAAAGAGCTTTATACACAAGAGCAATTGAATATTGAGAGATCATCCCAGCCCAGTCCAGATCAAGTTCATAAGTCTGATATTAGCCCATATGTCCTATACCAATCTATTAAGTCCTCTTCAGACTCACTAAACAAATGCAATGATGCCAAATGCAGGAAGATCATAGGCCAGTGGGTAGTAAGTCTTGTGGATCCAGTGGCAGTAAAGGCATCTCAGTGCTGCCAGGGGTCTCCATGTGGCTCCTTAAGCTCCCAGGGCTCTGGCTGCATCAGGGTAGCTCCATGTGGCTTCTCATCAAGAATGTCTCCCAGGGAGTCCATTTATCTCCTGGCTCCAGCGAGCTATTTATTTCCTCAGGGCTCCAAATGAGGTCATCAAGCTGCGACCTGATTGGCAGGCTAAAGTCACTCATAATACTCAAATTGACAACAGATTATGTAACTACCACAGGTGGTATTCAGTGAATACTGAAAAATGTACAAATCATCCATCCAAGCCCGCACATGAGCTGTATTCTTCACAGCAACAAAGCTCAGTTAAATGCAACTGCAAAGAGATTACTTCAAGGTGTTTAAGACAAAATTTCCTTTAGTTGGTTTTTTTAATTGTAATTGAATTGCCTGTTGAACTTTTATGTTACTTTTGTTCATAGTAGTTTCAGTGTTTCCTTTGTTATTACTGTGGGGGGGAAAATAATTGGAGTAATTTGTTGCAATCCCCAATTTTTTCAGATCACCCAGTCTGTACCTTTCAATAGTGGATAGTATCTTTCCACATTGACTTTAGGTTTGCCTGTGTTACTTGTCTTGACCAATGAGATAATAGCAAAGATACTACAAGCTTAGGTTTGGACATTTGGTCTATTGCTTTTGGAATCTTTCAACTGCCACCTGGTGAACAAACTCAGGCTAGACTCCTGCGTGATGAGATCCGTCCTCATCCTTCCTGTCACTCTAACCAATTGCCAGAAAGCTGTACTAGGCCGAATAAGGCTCCGAAAAGACATCAATGCCCAAATCCCTGGGACCTATAAATATAATACCTTACCCAGTAAAAATCTTTGCTTGCGTGATTAAGTATTTTGTGATTATCCAGGCAGACTGAATATAATCACAAAACTTCTGTTAAAAGGGAAGACAATTAACTAAAGAAGAAAAAGTGATATGATGAGACAAATAAAAATTTGAGTTACGTGGCCATGAGCCAATAAAGGACACCTTCTTCTTCTAAAGTTAGAAGAACCGAGAAACAGATTGTCCTATAGAGCCTCCAAAAGGCTCCAACCCTGCTGACATTTTGAATTCAGCAAGTTAGATTGAGTCTGGACTTCTGGTATGTAGGACTGTAAAAAATCATTTGGAAATGTTTCGGTTGATATTACAAAAGATGCTAAAATAAGATTTGCTGTCAAGAAAACATGTTCTGGAGAGAAAGTGAATGGTAGACTATCTTTTCCTAGTGCCTCAGTACATAGTCACATTGAGGGATCTCTGAAGAGATTAAATGTATGCCTCATGAACCACTTGAACAATGTCAGAAGCCAGAATGGAGATGGGAATTAACAAGGTCCTCTTCTGAATTCAACCTGAACCTCTGGCAGCTCCCTGTCAATGTACTGCTGTAACTGTTGTTGGATGATCTTCAGCAACATTTTACCTGCATATGAAATCAAGGAGATTGTTCTATAATTTGAACATTCTGTTGGGTCACCTTTCTTTGGGATGGGCACAAATATAGATCTTTTCTAGTCAGTTGGCCAAGTAGCTATCTTCCAAATTTCCTGGCATGGACAAATAAGTGCTTCCAATGTTTCATCAGCCTATTGAAACATTTCCATTGGTATTCCATCAATTCCTGGAGACTTATTTTTGGTTGTTGCATTCAGTGCAGTTTGAACTACCAGTTCTTTTTGGTACAGTGACTCTGTGTACTCTTTCCATCTTCTTTTCTTGCAATTGTTCGTCTATAGAATCTTTCAATATTATAACTTGAGGCTTGAATTTTTCTTCAGTTCTTTCAGTTTAAGATACACTGGTTGTTCTTCCCTTTTGTTTTTCTAACTTTAGGTCTTTGCACATCTCATTATAATTATTTGGTGTTTTTTTTTAAATCATTTTACTAGGGGCTCTTACAGCTCTTATCACAATCCATACATATATTCATTTTGTCAAACACATCTGTACATATGCTGTCATCATCCTTTGTGTTTTTTTTAAATGCCCTTTGACATTTTCTATTCAGCTCTTTGACTTCATCATTTCTTCCATTTGCCTTAGCTACTCTATGATTATGAGCAAATTTCAATCACTACTGCATCCACTTTGATCGTTTCTTTCTTTCCCTTTAAATGGCCATTAACTTTCTTCATGGATGATATTCTTGATGCTACCCCACAGCTCATTGTTAGGTCTTCTGTCATTAGTGTTCAATGCAGCACGTCTGTTCTTGAGATATTCTCCAAATTCAGGTGGAATATACTCCATGTCATGTTTTGGCTCTCATGGAATTGTTTTAAATTTCTTCATCTTCAACCTGAACTTACATATGAGCAATTGATGGTCTGCTCCACTCTTAACCGCTGGCCTGGTTTTACCTGCTGATATTGAGTATCTCCATCGTCTCTTCCCACAGATGGAGTCAATTTGATTTCTGTGTATTCCATCTAAGGAAGTCCACGTGCAGTGCTTTTGTGTTGTTGAAAAAAGGTACTTGTTATGAACAAGTTGGTCTTGCATCAAGACCATATTTTCCAACTACTGTTCCTTCCTCTTTCTTTCCAACTTCGGCATTACAATAACCAGTAATTACCAATGCATCTTGACTGCATGTTTGGTGGCCTTCTGACTCAAGACATTCGAATTCTGCAACTTCATCACTAGTTTTCGAGGTGCTGTGTAAACTTGACTAATAGTTGTGTTGATTGGATTTCCTTGCAGGTGGATAAATTATCCTATCACAAACAGCTTTGTATTTCAAGATTGATTGTGAAATATCCTTTTATACGATGAATGCAATGCAATTCCTCTTGATTGTATCGTTCCCAGGATGGTAAACCATATGATTTTGATTCCAAAATGGCCAAAACAAGTCCATTTCAGTTCACTAACACCTAGGGTATAGCTATTTACGCATTCCATTTCATTTTTAATAACTTAAACTTGGTCCTGCGCGTGGAGCGGCGAGGTCGCCGGACGCCCGACGGCCACCATGAAGTTCAACCCGTTCGTGACCTCGGACCGCAGCAAGAACCGCAAACGCCACTTCAACGCGCCCTCGCACGTGCGCAGGAAGATCATGTCGTCCCCGCTCTCCAAGGAGCTGCGGCAGAAGTATAACGTGCGCTCCATGCCCATCCGCAAGGACGATGAGGTCCAGGTGGTTCGAGGACATTACAAAGGCCAGCAAATCGGCAAGGTGGTCCAGGTGTACAGAAAGAAGTACGTCATCTACATCGAGCGGGTGCAGCGCGAGAAAGCCAATGGAACCACTGTCCATGTGGGCATTCACCCGAGCAAGGTGGTCATCACCAGGCTGAAGTTAGATAAAGATCGGAAAAAAATTCTTGAGCGCAAAGCCAAATCTCGACAGGTTGGAAAAGAGAAAGGCAAATACAAGGAAGAGCTTATTGAGCAAATGCAGGCATGAGCACGGGCTGCTGTGGAACACAGCGGAGGGGGAGATGTCTGGCCTGATGCGCGTTTCCTGGGAACTTTCCTCAAGATGCGTCTGGAACGTTTCGTTTCCCTCTTGTTCAGCGCTGGATGTGTGGCTTTGTAACTAATTTTATGAGTAAAAATTTGGAATGTTTCCTCATTGCAAATGGTGTTTTCAGTATTTGTAAATAAAATCCATCTATCAAAAAAAATAATAATAATAACTTAAACTTTTTCCAGATTCATACTTCATACATTCCAAGTTCCCATTTTTAGATCCTTACAGCTGTTTCTTCTTGAGTTTTTCCCAATCAGCAAATGATGATCCCTAAGTCCCACAGACTTTCCTCCGTTCCTGTCACCACAATGGCTCTAATGTGAGAAAGCAGCTCCTCCTCAGTCACATTTCAAATGCCTTCCATCCCTTTCAAGTGCTAGGGGCCCATCGTCTAGCACTACCTCTGAGAACATTCTGCTTGTCTTCATTACACCTTCAGGATCTGACAGTGGATCAATTCTTTCCATAAGGTTGTCAGTGGCCACTTCCTCTGAAGCTGCAAAGGATCAAAAGATGTATTGCATTGCATAAATCTACTTCACAAGACCTCTTTATAGTATTAAAAAGCAAGGATATTATTTTGCATGGTAAAGTTGAAAATTGTGTAATGAAGACAGGATTGTGGTGCTGGTAAAAAAAAAAATTGAAAATACCACGACCTACTTAAAAGGACAAATCTGTCCTAGAAACATGGGTCAGAGAGCCTAGAGGAAAGGATGGCAAGGCTTCATCTTACATACTTTGAACATGTTGTCAGGAGAGACCAGTCCCTCAAGATGTTTGCTTGAAGGGGCAGCAAAAACAAGGAAGGCCCTCAGGGAGATGGATCAACAAAGTGGCTGCAACAGTGGGCTCAAGCAAAGGTACAATGGTGAGGATGATGCAGGCCGGGGAAGTGTTTCATTGTTGTACAGTCGCTATGGGACAGAACTGACTTGATAGCACCCAACCACTCCGAAATAGGAAGCAGTCCTTCAGAGTCTGTTATTAGTCTGGAAGTTCCACTTGAACCTGTTCCTTTTGGATGACCCCGCTTCCAGCAACACACAAGCCACCATTGTACAACAAACTGACAGGCAAGTGGTGCTACGTCTCAGTAACTCCCACCAACTGACTAGGTGGAACCATGCAGAGTGAATCTCTTTGGACCTTGGTCAGTTTTGTCATTCTCCTGAGTTTAAAATGAGCCATTGCTGAAACAGGAATGGGAGAATCTCACCAATCAAGAACAAAGAACAGAATATATCCTTTGGATGCCCTGCACTGAACCTTCTGGATAAAGGAGACGGAGGGCTGGGGCACTATAACCAGCAGCTAGGTGGCAGAGAACAGGGTACAAGGCAGGCAGCAGAACTAAGAGCACGAGACAGAGCAAAGTGGCAGGATGACCAGCAGATGGAGCAAGTAAGCTGAGTGTTTTCAGGCAGGGGGCCTATTTGTGGAGAGGTGTGCCTCCAGGCACTTCACCAGGGAAACTTCGTTTACTGACCCAAGGAATTGTCTTAAGACTAACTAAGGCTTATGGCAAAGTGGCATGCTTTTAAAGCTTATATGGGCAAAACAAAGAACTTTATAACATTTGCCTAAGCAAGGAAGAGGCAAAGGGGCCTCTGGCTTAACACTCCTTATCAGAACTGTAGCCTGAACATTTCTGATCCTGAATTTTACCCCTAACTTCCCTAATAAAGCCCACAATCATGAGTATTATAAGTTCTGTGGCCTTCACTACACATAGAAAATCCAGCAGGATCGTGTTATGGGGACCGTTGAAGGGAGCGAAGCATGTCTGACCTCTGCCTCATAGGAACTGACCTTGGGTTAATGTACCCTGTTAACTCAGAGGTCAGATGTGGGCCTCACACCATTCTAACAAATAGAAATTCTTTTTGTTTTGTTTTTTGTAAATTCATAGCTTTATTAGGGTTAGTACTGTAAGTCCATGAGTTAAAAATTTGGGACTTAAGAGAAAATACATAC